CTCTCTCTCTCTCTCGGCCATGCAGCACACACAGAATGGCAACGGGTACAACCACGACGGGCGGATGATGGCCATGCAGTGGCATGCACACAGAAGGGCGGCGGGTACAACCACGATGGGTAGCCAATTTCCAGGGGCGAACTCCCTGAGGCGAGGCTGGAGCCTTCCAATTTCAAAAGTGGCCAATTTCGAAGATGGGAGGCTATTTCCTGAAATCTTTTTCTCGTCGTTCGCGCCAGGAAAAAAAATTGTGCCTAAGAAAAAAACAACCTGGCCGGTCTGCATATTTCCTGGGAAGAGGGGGGGGAAGGTGGATATTACGTACGGCTACCTGGCATAATTCCTTACCCACCCATACCCATTTGATTTTTTTTTTCACCAACCTATAACGACTGTACCCATGCTTTTTTTTTCCTTGGCCGCCCATACCTGCGTTTTTTCCCTTTTCACCGCCAGTACTCGCCCATGCCTGCCCGTGATCTCCACGCAGTGCAACCGTGTCTGCCCTGAAATCCACAAATAAAATTTATGTCTGCCCATACCGATGCCCCCCTCCAGAAGGGTAACCGTACCTGCCGATAACCTGCCGGCTACAGTCGGGTACGGTCAGGTACGGGCAACCATTAGCCAGTTGCCACCTCTCTGATTGGTACACAACGTAGGGTACACTTTTTTTGGCCGAAGAAGGTAGGTTGTTTGGGCTGTCAGACGTGTGTTGGTCTGTGATCAATGTTGATTTCTGGAAGCCTTGTAACTCTTGATGTATTGGGATCGGTCTGGGGCTGATTGTCGACTTTCTTAAGCCTGGGTCACTCGAGTCCAGGGCTGCCTGACCTGGTAGGTCTACCTGTTCTCAGTCCTACCATTCTGATAACATTTCTCCTACCTCTTCCCAAGCCACTATGCAACTTGATGTATTGGGATCGGTCTGGGGCTGATTGTCGACTTTCTTAAGCCTGGGTTTCTCGAGTCCAGGGCTGCCTGACCTGGTAGGTCTACCTGTTCTCAGTCCTACCATTCTGCTAACATTTCTCCTACCTCTTCCCAAGCCACTATGCACTTTAGCCAACACTGGGACTTAAAAACTGACATTGGGGCTTGTTCGATGCGACTTTTTGCCTCCTTTTTTTGCTGCTGTGATAACCCGTCCAAACCTGGACTGAAACACACAGCTGATTTCTGAGTTTTGCTCATAGACTGAATGCCCTACTGAGTTCCCCGCCTGCTGAGTCTGCGTGCGTGTGTGCTTGTTGGACTGCATGTCTGTCTGAGTGCTGGTTGGCTTGCGTGTGTGACTGTGCCTGTCTGAGTGCTGGTTGGTATGGGTGTGTGTGTGTGTAGCCCGCCAGGGCACTTGTTCGTTTGTTGGGCCCTCAGGGCCGGTACTTACCTGTGGCCATGGCTTTGAAGGGTTGCAGCAGGGGAAAAAGCACTCAAGTAGCGGGTAGGCCGGTACCGCAACCGGTAGGGGGGTAAATATGCAGGTACTGGAGGCCGAGCAGAGGAAGACAAAAGTGGCATTTTTAGAGGCCGGTAGTGTAGGCTAGGTCTAGCGGGTACCAGTCCGAGTCTAGGGCCTGTAGGGGCAATATCAGAGTCTGCAATGATGTTCCTTCCAAAAGAGGAGGAGGTACCGGTTGCTTGGGAAGGCCAGTGGCCTGGAAGTCACCGCCCAAGAGGCAAGCAGGCCGCTATATCTTCTGGCCGGGCGGAAGACCCGACCTCTTTTTCGGTGTGCAAGTTTGGTGACACACTCGTGGAGCGCTGGAGGGAGCAGCGCTGGGCTGGAGCTGCGCTGCTGGGGAGGAAGAAGAAGGACTAGAGGGAGGAAGGAGGAGGAAGGAAGGAGGAAGGGGGAGGAGCGCCAGGGGTACTTCCCTGGCTATGGT